TATATATATATATATATATATATATATGTTCCTCATACCCAATTATATATCCCATGTTTTTTTATTGAATGATGTTGATCAAAGCATAAAAAAATAATAATGAATTTTATGGATCAAGTTAAACAAATACAACTTTCATCATGTATATGTGTTCATATGTGTGATGGTGTGCATCAATGTTGTTCACAATAGCTGGTCATAAAGTCCATTGTCATCGGTGTTCGTGTAGTTGAGGTGCATTAATATTTATATTTAATCGCATGCATTGATGTTATTAGCAATGTCAAGCCATGAAGTTGGCAGGGCATTAGAGTTGTTGGGAGACACTGGTTAGGTGACCATAGTTGGGAGATAATAGTATGAAGTTATGCTAAAACTATAGCGATCAAAAGATCATAGTTAGACAAAATGATCAGAGGATCATAGTTGGGTGATGTTATTCATAAGAGTGCTATAGTTGAGCAATGGTAGTCAGGAGATTATGGTTGGCGATATTGATATGGGGATCATAAGTAGGAAATAATGGTTTTAGGGCTATAATCTAATGATTATGGTTGTTGGATTGTTATTGGATCAATAGTGGTCTAAGGAAGGAGGATTATAATCGAACAATATTTATCGGAGGATTGTAGTCGGACCATAGTGGTCAGATGACTATAGTAGGGCCATCGTGGCCGAGATAATGTCTTTAATTGACTATTGTTAATAAATTATAAGTTGGGGATGACAGCCAGAGGATCATATTCATGTGATGATAATTGGATAATCACGATCATGAAAAAAATAAAAAAAGACCTAGAGATATAATCAGGCCAAGACAATTTGAAGAATGTAGTTAGGCGACAATGATTAGAGGCTCATCGTTAGGAGTCGATAGGCGCAAGACTGTAATTGGCCGAGAATGATCTAAGGATCGTACAAGTGACGATGTTTGTATGAATGTAGTCAAGCGATGATGATTAAGAGATTATAATCGAGCATTATTAGTTTATAACCTTAGTCAGGTGAAGATAATATGAGGGCCATAATTGAACGATTATGCATTTAATATTTTTAATCTATACTTGTACATGTTCAAGTAAGTGGTTTTAGTCAAGGGACCTTGCCTTAACAGTCATTGCACCAAAGGGGGGAATTTACTCAAGAAAAATGTACTAGTTGTCCCAACTCATTTTTTCTATGTTTCTAGTGCATGAATAGGACTTATGTAAACTTATATCATATCACTTTTTAATGTCATTGGATTCATCTCATTGAGATATCCAATTAGCTATACGATTGCCAAAATTAGAGTTCTGAAGATCCTAAATTTAATTTTGAAAATTTTCAACTTCAATTTGCATCTAGATTCATGCTTGATCAAGTTATTTTTTATTATATATCAAACTTTATTATTTTAAAGTCAATCAAACTAATAGATTATAAGATGACTCATGTATTTTTTAATCAAAAATATTATTTGGTGTAAAATATAGAGTTGTTAATTTAATTATATAACATCTTAATTTTTAAATGACAAAAAAATATCATTAATATTAACTTATCTAAAATAAAATAAATATTTTCATACGTGTTTTTTGATAAATATTAAATATATACAATAACAACAATAACATCAAGCCTTAATTTCATTATGCGGGGCTACGCGGATCTTTTCCTTCATTGTGTTATGTTTAGAGTAAAATCTCATTTAAATCTAATAAAATTTATTTATAATATTTTTCAACCAAATTTCATTTAGATCTACCTCTACCTCTACCTTACATAAATAAATAAAAATTTAATAATATATAGATTTAAATCCCTCAATAAAAAGATATACAAAGAATGTATTTTTTTATCATAAATGAAACTAAATATTTGAAATTATAGTGAAATTTGGAATCTTTTGTTACCAATAAGAAACTATAGAAAATAAATTAAAAAAAAAAAACACTTTCAAATTTATTTTTGTGAAATAAAAAACATAAAAAATGAATCAATTATTATATTTTACTTATTTTCAATTAAATTAAAAAACTATTAAATTCACATTAATAAATGTCTCTTTATTCCATTAGGGCTCATTACCAGAAGTCCTCTCAATATATACCATCACTCACCAAGCAAATCTAAGCTCCTTACCTTTAAACCCATCCATCTTCTACCCTTCGCAACCATGGCTTCTCGTCTCCTTCTCCTCCCCTTCCTCCTCCTCCTCCTTTCCTCCATTGCCGCCGCCTCCTCTCCCCACAAAGGAAAGCTCAAAGAGAAACTCAGCCACCTCCACTTCTTCTTCCACGACGTCGTCAGCGGCAGCAACGCCACCGCCATGCGGGTCATCCAACCAGCCGGCGCCCTTGCCAGGTCTTTCTTCGGCATAGTAACTATAATGGACGACCCGCTCACGGAGGGTCCCGACCCAAATTCCAAGCCCGTGGGTCGGGCTCAGGGCATGTACGCCGCGACGGCACAAGATGAGCTGGGCTTCCTCATGGCCATGAACTTGGCCTTCACGGCGGGGAAGTACAACGGAAGCGTACTTACCGTCCTGGGCCGCAACCAGCCGCTCCACCCCGTGCGGGAAATGCCGGTCGTCGGCGGCAGCGGGCTTTTCCGCTTCGCGAGAGGCTACGCGCTAGCCCGGACTCATTGGCTTAATCTCACCAGCGGTGACGCCATCGTTGAGTATAATGTCCACGTCATGCATTATTGATAATTTGTGTTCTTCTAAACTGTTCGGAGTGGGCCCACTAGTTTATTAAATAAGTACATTTAAGTTGGAGGCGAGCGCCTAAATCTGAAGAACAAACAAAAGTAGTGATTTTATTTTTATTTTATTTTAATGTGAAAAATTAATTATTGGCCTTTCCATTTATCATGAACGGGAATCTTCAATTTTTTTTTCTTAGAAGAATAATTATTTTGAATATTTTGTCCATCATCAATAAATACATTTGTTTAAATTCTAAGAATTTTTGTTTTTGTAATTCCATATATAGAATTATGTATTTTATAATCTTTATTCTCATCCTAAAAAAAGAGGTTAATTTGCCTCTGGTTAAAATGATTTTTTTCATGGAATTTAAATTTGATATTGTTTTTTTATTACAATTTATCAAAGAAAAAAATATATATATTATCTACTTGTATTAAATTTTTATAATAATTTTTTTTGGTGAGGTTCAAATATAAAAATTCAAGCCATCAAGATTCTCAAATTTATTATAGTTATTGTGTTAAAATTATGAATGCTAGGTAGAAGATTTGAAAGAAACTGATCTAGTTTATGGGTGTAAAAGAGTCTAGTCAAGCTCGAGTCAGTCACATCTAACTCGAGCTCGACCGGTCCAATAATAGAGAAATTATTACGTGTAGTCATCAGACGCCATTCAGAGGTGAATCAAGACGTGTCATATTACTATTTTGCTATGTATCAGTGCTGTTTAATGCTGTGTATCGAATGATGTGGCGCATCTTCATTTGCCTGCATGCATAATAATTTCTCCCAATAAAAGGCAGGCCTCCACTTAGCTGGAGCATGTGCATTGATCTCCAGCGTGAACTTCTCATCCATCATAATGACTTGCTGGAAAGGGGCATCTTGCTGGAGAAGTCGTCACAAGCCGAGTGGAGAGGAGTAAAGAAGAGATTTCTTTCTTTTTATTTATTTATTTATTTTTTATAATGGTAACGAAAGCTTTAAGGCAATGCCACCAGCATTTTTAAAGGAAATGGTAGCAGCTTTTATAAAGGAAGTAACATATTTTATTATTTTAATTTTTGAAAAGACTGAAAGCATCACTTTTGATTTAGCTTTTCTATTAACTTTTAAAACAACTTTTAATAAATTTATGCCAAAAAGCTGGTTTAAACATCAGTAAAACAGTCTCAAAGTATACGAGTAATCAAACTTCATACATTATCAAAAAATTCATCCTGATCGGGCACGAATCTCGAGGCAAATTAAGTTTGAAACTTCCAAAATTAAAATTGGAACCATCCGAACTCTGATTTCAGCAAACTACAGTCAAGCTGAGCATATCGGAATTACAAAACAAACGACACCATAATCGACTCAATATGAGCCCAAATGAGTTCAAATTAAGGACTCGATGTGGTGTAGGAAGGTTCAAACCATATTTTGGATTACCAAACGATTTCCAAACGTCACTTGCTTATAGTCGAATCGAGCGACTCGACGAGACAAATCCAACGAGCCCAAGAACACCGAATTATGAAATCATTAAGGCATTCAAATGTCTAGTAAATGGTCTATGATCAAGGGGATCAACATCGGTCGTCCATACAAACCAATCCAACTTATTTATGATCTTCCATTTATTTACAAGTCATGCCACTCTAGAAAATCTATAAATAGAGCCCCCCTTTCTAAAGAAATGGGACCCCCAAGCAAGGAATCAAAAGATAGATCCGAGATCGCTCTTGCCACCTCGCTCCTCCTCGACCACCATCCGGACTTCCGTTGGAACACAACCTGACGCTGGAGTTCTGCCGGACCACCACCCGACACCGGAGTTCTAACAAACCACCGCTCGACACCGAAGTTCTGCCAGACCACCACTTGATATAGGAGTTTTGCCAGACCCTCGCCTGACGTCAGACTTTCAATAGGACCACCGCCTGATGCCAGACTTCCGCCAGACCACAGCATGACATTGGACATCTGCTGGACCACCGCCTGACGTCGGACTTCTGTCGGGACCACCACCAGACTTCGGACTTCTACCAGACCACTGTCTGATGCCAGAGTTCTGCTGGACTACTACTTGACGTCAGAATTTTGCCGGCCCACTGCATGACGTCAAAGTTCTGCCAAACATCCACCGGACCACCAATAGAAATTGGAGTTCCACTAGACCACCGAATAACGCCCGAATTTGCGTCGGACCACCGTCTTATGACTACGGTCTTTCTGACACTGTCTCCTAGCGACTACGGTCCTTCAAATCTCCGTCGCTTACTACGGTTCTTCCGACCTCCATCGCCAGATAACGATCTTTCTGACTCCTATCTCCTACCGACTACAGTCCTTCTGACCTCCTTCACATACTACTGTCTTTCCGACCTCCATCACCAGAAATTGGTCTTTCTAACCACAGTCTCTCGCCGACTATGTTCTTTCTGACCTCCCTAACTAGATGATGGTCATTCTGACCATTGTCTCCCACTGATTATGATCCTTCCAACCTCCCTCGCCAGACAACAATCTTTTTTACCACTGTCTCCCGCTGACTACAATCCTTCCGACCTCCCTCGCTAGATAACGATCCTTCCGACCATCATCACCAGACTACTGTTTCAAACCTTCGTTGCCCACTGACTATGATTCTACCGACTAAATGAACTTTTCAATACTAAAAATTCCAATTCCCGCCATGTAATATGATATATATTTGCTACATCAACCTAAGGCCTTCCCCCCAAGGAAGGGCCTCATTTGTAATCGACTGTAAATATTAGTGGATTCATTCAAATGGGGCCAGGCCTTATGGTTTTTTCCTCCTTTTCAGGGGGTTTCATATAAAAACTATGGTATCTCTTATGAACGCTACACCCTCTCTTTTATTTAATTGTGTGTTGGATCTTCGTACAAAGCTAAGACATTAAATTTTATATTTCTTTATCGTCGCAAATATTCCAGGGTGCAACAAAACTCAACTTTGAACTCATTTAAGCTTTATTTGTGATAGTTTTATTACTTTTTTTTATTTTTGAGAATATGATTATTATTGTGGGCTAAAATATATGCGACGATAGAGTTATAATTTTTTATTTTAACATTGTACGGATATCCAACATACAAACATAAAACATAATTTTTTTACGTGGAAAATAATGGATAAGGGAAAAATGACGGGGCCACGCTTAGTTAAAATGATTCCATTAGTGTTTCAATAGATTACAACTAATTGATCCGTCCTATGAGGATGATCAGATTACCACAATCAACCCGTTAGGTTGAAATTTAGTGGCAATGAGAGATCGAATTAAAATCTATTGACATTTGGTGGTTGGGCGAAAATCTGACATCAGTTGACGACCAGGCATAAGTTTGGTGTCAATCGGTGGCCGGGCTGAAGTCCGGCGCTAGTTGGCAGACGAGTGGAAGTCCTATGACAATTGGTAGCCGGGCGAAAGTCCGGCAATGGTCGAGGAGTCTGGTGATAAGATAACTCTAGTTTCTCTATCTTCCTTACTTGGGTCCCCTTTTATGAGGAATGAGGGGTCTATTTATAGTTTTTTAAGAGTAGCATGACTAGTAAATAGAATGAAGATCAAGGGTAAGTTGGGAGTGGATTGAATGGACGATCGATGCTGATTCCCTTGATCGTGGACCATTTATTGAGGATTTCAATATCATAATGATATCATAATTTGATGATATTGGTCTCATTGGATTCGTCTTGCCAAATCGCTCGATTCAGTTATAAGCATATCACGTTTGGAAATCTTTTGGTCATCCAATTCATGCTTAGAACTTTTCAAATGCCTTTCGGGTCTTCGATTTGGACTCATTTGGGCTCGGATTGAGTTGATCTTGGTGTCGTTGGGTTCTTATTTTTGAAACATTCAGTTCGACTGTAAGTTTGCTGAAATCAGAGTTTAGATCATCCCAGATTTATTTTGTAAGTTTCCAACTTAATTTTACCTCGATATTGATGCCAGATCAAGATAAATTTTCAATTATATATTAGTTGTCCTATTATTTTCGGACGTCAAAGCTCCAGATGTCCGAAAAAATGCATCACATCATTTCAAATTGTTCGAATTGCAAAACTATAATATTTTGAGAAATTACGAGGCTCGACTGCTCCCTAGACATTAACGCGGGCCTCCCCTCGAGGCCTTGAACTAAGTAAAATATCATTAATTATATATTTAGCTCATTTAAGCTTCATTTGCGACAACTTTATTACTTTTTTGTTTATGAGAATAAAATTATAATTTTTTTTGTAAACAAATTTTGGATGAAGAATTTACTTTTTAGAACAGTTAAAAAAAAATATTTTCTATAATAGCTTTAAAAATCATTAAAAAGGTCATCCTAAACAAAACCTTAATATTTGAGGTCAGATTAGAGTTTGAGCCCGAGCTCGAGCTTGTGGTTCAATAAACAAGACTCGTGAGCTCATTAGTTGAGTCAAATTCGAACCAGCTCTGCTAATTTACACCGTTAATATAGTTATATGATTGTATCCTTTAATTTATATAAAAATTACTTCTGTAATTCTAAGACTCAAATTTTAGATGTTTATATGGAAAATAAAAACTTACACGTCACATGCGCTTGCTTAAGCTTCTCCTTTATAAAATTACATAACTTTTTTATTTTTTACATAGTTTCAAGCAATCGCTATCCATTGATTAGTTTTAGGCCAAAAAAAATTATAGTGGATAAGAAAATTTAATAATTTAATGGTAATAAAATACAATTGTCATATTTAAGAATTTTTGAAATATTTAAAATTAAAATTATTTTAAGTAATTTCTAATCAACAATTTTTTTTAATATTCTATATTCAGAACTGGGCCTTTAATTTGTCTTTATTACCTAATGTGGTCCACGTTAGGTTGTCGGTATTGTTTAATACTTTATTTTTAGTGCAATGTGGCATTAGACTCCACAATACTGTGAAAAGCTGCTAACTGCCCACAGCTGCTTATAGATCCACAATGCTATGAAAAGCTGCTAACTACTCACACCTGCTTAGTTTAGTTGGTTGTCAAGTACGGTTGGGAACTCTCCAATTAATGCTCGATTTCGCTTGAGTTGTAGCCTCTCTTAAGTGTGGTCAATTAAGTGCAAGTTAGGAGATTTTTGGGGTGAGTGCCTCCTCTAGGCCAGCTGAGGATTAGTCAC